TTTTTTGAATTTTTGCTATTTTTCCATAATTTTAGATTTTTTACCAAAGGGTAGAGGCTATTAAATAAGTAAAGTATTTTTAAAGAGCACAAAAATAATGAAGCTAAATGCCATAAAAGAAAGGAAAAAATGTTAAATTTTAAGAAATTCGGTTTTCTGAATTTTTGCTAAATTTCTATAATTTTAGATTTTTTACTAAAGGGTGGATACTATAAAAAAAATGAATTACTTTTGAAGAGCACAAAAATATCGAAGCTAAATGCCGTAAAAAAGAAGAAAAAATGTTGAATTTTAAGAAATTCGATTTTTTGAATTTTTGCTAATTTTCCATAATTTTATATTTTTTACCAAACGTAGAGGCTATTAAATAAGTAAAGTATTTTTAAAGAGCACAAAAATAATGAAGCTAAATGCCATAAAAAGAAGAAAAAATGTTGAATTTTAAGAAATTAGGTTTTTTGAATTTTTGCTAATTTTCCATAATTTTAGATTTTTTACCAAAGGGTGGAGATAACAAATTAGGTAAAGTATTTTTGAAGAGGACAAAAATAATGAAGCTTAATGATATAAAAGAGAAGAAAAAAATGTTAAATTTTAAGAAATTGGGTTTTTCGAATTTTTGATAATTTTTTATTTTTTGCTAAAAGGTGCAGACTATTCAAATAGTAATATTATACTTACCGAAATAGCTATTGGTAACTAATTATTAATTTTCCGGTCAAATTAAATTTTCGGCTTTTTTCTGATTTTCCAGATTGGTAGAAACATTGTTAAATGTATTGGTAGAAACTAAAACCCGTCGAAGACGGGTACGACAGCTAGTTTTCAATAATTTTAATAGAATTTATAGAAATATTCGCTAAAATATAAGAAAAGACTTCTCCATATAATAATAAATTATATATAAGGATAATACAAAAAATTGATATATTTAATAGATATGATATGCGAGTGAACATTGTCATAGAAAATACTTGAAAAGAATGGAAGTAAAAAAAGTTATCTGGGTCGGAAGTAACAAGAAGTATTACTAAGGCGAGAAACACTTCGTAATAGTCTGTCACGTTTCCGGCAACCATTTCCTAATGGGGATCTCGTGTCCAGTCAACTTAATAGACTTGAACTTTCATCAGCTTTTCCTAATTGCGAACATCACTCAATTATCAAAACTATAAATTGAAATATATAAACGCGGCTATTTTGCATAAAAATTTTAAAGAAAATTATTTTTTATATGGGTATAGTTAATTCTTTAGTGTTTTTTTATTATAATAATTAAGATATAAATAATATGTATGGAAACCTATAATAATAGTAATATATAATAGACTCATAATAATAATATAATAAATTATGTATATATTTTTTTACGATTTGGGACATTTACTTTTTTTTGGTTACAATAAGAAACATTTTATTATCCATGAAAATTTCCCGATTTGAAATTATATTTCAAGTGAATCATTGTCATTTTTTTTCTTTCTTTTGGATATAGCAATATCTAGATTTAGTCAAATAATTAATCTTCATGTACGCAGCAGCACTGCTGCAGATTATCACTCGACTGCACTTCGTAGAGAGGGCGATTAATCGTTTACTATTGTTTGTTAATGCATTACAATTTATTTCTGACGAACGCCTCATTTGTCATCCAGTTCTACTTACACCATCACTAGAAAATTGGGTAACGGTTACGATAAATTACTTGGGCACTTAGCCAGGCAACAATTGAAAGATAAATAATGTTGCTTATAGCAAGACAAATCTTCATTTTCCTATATAGATAAATTTTCAATTATTAATTATACGTCGTTAAGTAGAGATAAAAAAGTGTAATTAAATTTTCCTTAAATTTTAAAGGTTTAATAAAATTGATAAACAGTTTTCTGTTCACGAAATTGACTACTAAAATTGACAAATTTTATATTTTTTTTCGTATTATTCTTAGTTCTTAAGTTTATGTAGGTAAAAGTATGGGCTGTCAAATATGTATATAAATCTTAAAATATATACATTCCGAAATAGATCTAAATCTAGTTTTCTGTTTAAATTGTATTTAAAAATTACTATACTGAAATGGAAAATTATGTAAAAATCACATTTATTTAGTTAAAAATAAATTTTTTAAATATAAAAAATAATTTTTAAATTTTTTGTATCATGCTCACATTATAACTAGAATATTTATTCCTTATGTTTTGCCGAATTTTTCTGGAAAGTTTACAATTTGTTTAAACAATTGGTAAAATTCTAATTTTTAGATTGTTGTTAGTAACTAGTTACATTTGGCTTGGAAAGTTGTAAAATTCAGAAAAAATCGCAACTCTGTGTCTCAATTTGACAAAAAATTGAAATTAAACAATTGATAATATTATTATTTTTAGATTGTTGTTAGTAACTGGTTACATTCATCTAGAAAAGTTGCAAAATTCAGAAAAAAGAGCAACTCTGTGGCTCAATTTGATAAAAAGTTGTAAATAAACAATAATAACTTGTTTAAACAAATTAGCAATTACATAGAATAATGTTTAAAAAATTGTTATTTTGAAATTTATGGGTTTTTTTGGGCACTATAAAATATAGTTAATATTAAAAAAATGATTAAATAAACAATTTAGCACTATTATTTGAAGTCTTCTAAAGAGAAACAGAGTTTGATGAATAAAAAATATTAATTTTCAAGGATTCTATACTAGTTCTACGAAAATCTCAACAGGGTCTTCTTTCCCTGATAATTTTTCCAAGCCCGTTCTCTTGGCAGTAATTTAGCTAGAAAGTAGATATGGACAGCAGGAATCTCGATAATCCATTCATGCGCGTCACTAATTACATGACGGGGTATTCGGCTACTTTTTTATAAACGCCATCTCATTTACCCATATAAAAAAATAATAATATTAAGCTAGGGTAGATAACTGATTCCTAAAAATATTACGCCTTCTGTATGTCAGGTGGTACCAAAAATCAACGACGGCCTCTTCTTTTGTCACCTGACTCCTCTGCGAATACCAGAGCCGGTCGCGCTGCTGGCATTAAAGATATTGAATGCTATCAGCCCACCTATGATCACCTTGGAGGATATGGTTAAATCGACTTAAAAAAGGATCCTTTTGGACAAAACTCCAGCCACTCAGATCCCGTGCTGAGCAAGGGGACTAAACCATTTCCAATTAATGGTGGCTGACGAAAAGGAGATGTTGTTCACCTTAATCTCGTACTCTTCGAACACAAACTCGGCGATCTCCGCATTACCTTGGTAATACTGGACCAGGTTGCAGTGATCAGAGTTGCCGGATCAGAGTACCCTGCTTTGCACCCTCTGTCTCTAACCCGCCCTCGAGAGGTTTTCGATCTGGTCGGTAAGGCACTAATTTTCAACCGGCAGGAATTAATAAAATCCCTACCCGTCATGAACATCGTGCCTTCATAGAGCCATCCATCGAATCGTGGGTATGCTTAAGCCACCGCACCGTCTGCTACAGATAAATGGAATAAGCCTTGGGTGTATCTGGTGGCAACTTCAGCCAGCCTCGTACAGCTGATCTCACAACTATATCGACTCTATTTAAAAAGCCGATAACATGGCCACCAATCTTAAGATTGGAGATTAAAGATTGGTGGAGACAAAGGATCACCCTGTCAGACACCCCGTTTAGGGTAGATCCTATCTGAAGTCCAACCCTGCCACTGCAGAATCGTATAACCGTTACGATAAACACCCGCGACATGGTCCACAAATTTAACCGGGACATCAAATGATCTCATACATTCCAAAAGAAAAGGATATCAAAAAGCTAGGGCCAAATCTACTAGCAAGGATTTTATGAAAACCTGACACGATCAGTGATGGTACTGTGATCGGCCGGTACTTATCAGGTACATCCTCAAATCCCTTCTTTGGAATGAAGATCGTCCGCGACGCATGCAGGCATTGGAGACTACCTCTGCATCAATACAAATGCGATACAACTCACGAACGTTATATGTCGTTTTCCAGGGCTTGTGGATCCAATGAGTGGAAGAAAACAAAAAAGGGGTCTAGAGATTCCTCAAGAACTATCTCTAGAGTATTTCCAGCTTCTTCCATTCTAATCTCCCCACCCTCCCTAACCTCCACACACATATCCTCTACCATTCTTTTATACTCGACGTACCTCCTTCGTTCTTTAATAGACTCCAGGATCCTATGAGGAAATTCCGCCTGCAATACTGCGTTAATGGACCCAGCTCTTCCGTCTCTCTCCCACTTCACCAAAAACTCAGCCTCCCTTTTCGCTAGCATCTTCGATTCCTCAACTGTCCACCTCTCCTTCACGCACGATATTAACGCGTTCGTCCATTCTCTCAGGGTGTCTATGTCGAGTATGCTAACCCAGGCCTATCCGTGTTGGGAACCTCATCTCGCGGCCGGAACATTCAACACGTATTTTCGCATATGTAGCTTAATACCATCCGGGACAAACATACCTTCGCGCTTCCTTCGAATTCACATGGGAATCTCACGGGAACGAGGCCCATCATCAATAGTTGGGGGTGGTAAATCAGTGGATCCACTATAAGTATTTTCCGAGGCTTTTTGATTATCATTTCCAATTATAATTATAGTGCTATTTTGAGACGCAAGCCCAGCAAAGCATTTCATAGACTCCGTTTCCTCCTAAACGAGAGCTTGGGTGCCTAGCAGACCTTCGCTAGGTTGAGTACGGCTATCCAAAAGGAATCTACAAATCCATAAGACATATAGTCACCCAAGTACTAGCTTAGCATCAAGTGGGGTCGCTACTTCCCAAAAGGCAAGAGAAAGAAAGGGAGTCATAGTTACTCCCGCCGTTTAACCACGCTTGCTTGAAATTCTTCACGTTGACATTCAGAGCACTGGGCAGAAATCACATTGCGTCAACATCAGCAAAGGCTATCGCAATGCTATGTTTTAATTACAATTACATTAATTTAAATACAAGGATTCCTCTTGTCCGTGACAGTTCTAAGCTGAGCGTTGAATGGCGGCCGAAGAGGATGACCACGATGGCAGAACCATCGCGGAAGCCTCGCTGCAAGGAAGATACGCGGGAGGTCAAGGAACGGGACCGAGCTCAGATCCTGACTCCCGAAAGAGTCACTTTACCTCGCCCAGGCCCGGCACGTCAGCCAGGCCCGCTTCCCGACCAATCCTTATTCCGAAGTGACGGATCCAGTTTGCCGACTTCTCTTACCTAAATTAGTTTATTGACTGGAGGTTCTTTATCTTGAAGACCTGCTGCGGACATGGGTACGAACCAATATCCGAGTATAGGCGCGGCGCTTCAGCGCCATCCATTTTAAGAGCTAGTTGCTTCAGCTGGTGAGTTGTTACACACTCCTGCGGATTCCGACTTCCATGGCCACCGTCCAGCTGTCATATGCAACCAACGCCTTTCATGGTATCCCATAAGCGTCGACTTTGGCGTCTTAACTCTGCGTTCAGTTCATCCCACAGGACCAGGTCTGCTTACCAAAATTGGCCCACTTGACACTCTGATCCGAAATCTCATGGCTTCATAAATTCAAGCAAGCTGGAGATCAAATTCAAATCTGTAAAAAAAAATTAAAAAATGTCAATAAACAAATATTATGGATTTTATTGAAGAAAAAAGTTATTTCTAATTACCCTTTAAGCTAGATTAATGATTTGTTTTATATAGTCGCAGAAAGATACAAGGAATTAAGAAGCTTATATCCCGATTTTCTAAAATAAAATTTGACTGAAATATGCCTAATTGCTGTTTATAGTGAAAAAACATTTATTTAATGACTCACATATTTGACAGCAATGCAAAAAAAAGTTTGTTAATTAACATTAGATTATGAAAAACTATTAATCTGATCGAGTCAAAATTTTGTATACTTATTATGGGCCTCAAGAACTTTAATTTTCGAGTTAATTTTGCCAAGGGAAAGATAGATTAAATAACAATTAAATAAATTATTCAATATTTAAAATTCGTTTGACTTTTATCGTTTTTATTCTGTAACTCGCAAAGAATTTGTTGAAACATACCGTGCGACCTCTCATTTTTTAAGATATTCTCAAGTTCTACAACTTTTAATAATAGAATTTTTTCCTATTGGATAGGATTTATGTCACAAAATCGACCTTTTTGATAGGGTGCCTATCTCGATTATTATTATATAATATAATTATTTGATTCAAGTAAATATTTATTTGAGAACAGAAAAGTAATCGGTAATTTGAATCAAATAACATTTTTTTCAGTGTACAAAAATGAAAATAATTTCCAATTCATACTACCATAAGTGTCTTATTTCTTAAAAATACTTTGAAAAAAGTGAAGAAAAAATGAAAAAAGTTGTCAAATCTGTGCAACTAAAAAGTAGAAGTAAGGAAATAATCCTGAAAACAAAGAGAGAGATGGAGGGTAGGGGGAGGGTTTGGTGGGTAACAAGAGAAGCGCCATGGCGCCTGGCGTCCCTTCACCCTCTACCAATCAATAGGGACACCATGACTTGTCCCGCACGCGCATCTAACCCTCTACTGGCTCAGCTGACTTGTAATTAAGTCACCACGAATATCTTTAAATATTTCTAGACTGAAAGTCGCGTCGCTTTCCGGCGTCAATAAACTTAAATTTATCGATTACCTCTATTTCCGACAATAGGAGCAGAAAAAAAACAAAGCGAAAGAAAAAATCTCTTCTCACAGAGATTTCTTTTCAAAAGAAAAACTCTTCATTGTTCAAACTTTTCTCTACTGTTTAAAAATATTTCTTCCTTTAGCCCCAATTTCGTCCTGAAAACGCCATACAGAATAGTCAAAATTTTAATTCAGCACATTGACAATTTATCTTAATTTTTTTTACAAGTTTCAAAAGATTTTTTCATTTAGATTTTGAATTCAAAAATAATATAAATTAAATATTACTAAAGTTTCGAACGATATTTTTTTACTTCTTGTATTTTAGTTATAGTAAAACCGGTCATAATAAAGGTCAATACTTTTAAACTTTTGTTTTAATCTGCATTTTTATATTATAAAATTAGTTTGTATTTTTTAACAAAAAATTATTTTCTATATTTTAAAAAAATTAATTCTTAATTGAGCAAATATTTAATTTAATTTTTTTTTCATTACAGTTTAGTAATTTTTAAAACATGTATTTTAAATAAATAAAAAATTTATATAATTCAAGTCAATAAAAAATAAAGATTTGATCATTAATTTAAAAGTAATTATTTATTGAACCACAAAACAATGTTTATTTGCTTCTTTCAATAAAAAGAAAGAGAAGAAAAATTTTATTGTTTCAAAAAAAGTTTTTCCTAAATATAGAAATGAGTGTTTTAATGTGTTAAGAGAGTATTTAAGATCTGAGAGAAATAGAGAAAGGTCAATTAAATTTATTTCTTTTTTCCTCATGACTAAATAGTGAGAGTGATAAAATAATGCCGAGAGAAGTTTAGGAAATAAGGTCAAAGCTACACGCAACTCACGTATAAAAAACGAAAGAGTAACTTGTCACAGACGACAAAAAGGGAAACTCCAAACCTTTAGCGGTATTTCCTTCCCCTTGCTTACGTTATCTTGTGGGCGTCGACTCTTTGTGCCCCTTGAACATGCAAAATTGAATCCGTTTAGTGTTTCCTTTAACTGAAAAATAAAACTTCATTGATTTTTTTTCTTTTCAAATTGAAAAACTACTTTCACCACCGAGGCGGAAAAGTTCTATATAGAATTTTTCTTTTCTTCTCTAGATATAATTTTACTAGAATGATTCCATACAATCATTTTACAAAAACTTTCAAAACTGAAATGAAATAATTTTTTATACTCTATTCGCTTCATGCCTTTTGTGAGCGAATTTTCGTGTCATCTAGGCGGCAACTTAAAGAACTATATTATTTGCGCGAAATTAAAATCAAATTTAATTAGTTATATTAATAATATACATAACTAATTATTTTATCTTTATTATTATTGTTATTATAAAGTGTCAGGGATTTTTATTAAAAGTACTGGAAAAAATTTAATTTTCAGAATTTAGGTATAAGAAAATGTTGAATTTTGGAGTCTTTTGTTTGACACGTTTAACTATAAAATTACCAACAATTCTAAATTTATAATACGAAACCTTCAATTTTTCCTATTTCTGACAATAATTTCTTCTTAAATAACTTAATTCTTGAAGAACTATAATCAAATTATTGCTTATTAATTATGCAATAAATAATTTTACTTAAATATTTCAAAATTATTTGAATTCTAAAAGAGTTGCGTTTACAATTTTTATAAATTAATGAATTTCGAAAAGTTTTAATTTTAAATTTTATAAAATGAATTTAATTATAAATTTTAAAGAACTTAGATTTTTTTTAAATTGTAATAATTTAAATTCATCTAAATTGCAGATTGCAGAAATTCAATTCTTTCAATAGTAATAAAATTCTTCTTAGAAATTAAATTATTTTCAAAAATTCTATTAAAATTCTTGGCAGAATTTCAGTTATTTTAAAAAATTATTCTCAATCTAATGATTTTCAATATCTACTATTCTAATAAAATTTTCCAAAAGAATTGAATTTTATTTTTAAAAAAATTTTTTAATTCTATACAAGTAGGTATAGTTAATTATTTTTATGAATAATTAAAATTTCACATGAATTCAATTATTTACAAATTTTTTATAAATTTATTTGCAATGAATCAATTATTTTCATAAATAATAAAATTTTTTACAGGGATTGAATTATTTTTTTAAGTAATAAAATTCTTTTTAGAAATTCAATTATTTTCATCAATAGGGTAGAGTGGGGTAAAAAAGCCATTTGAGTTTTACTTAAAAACTATTAAGCCGATTTATCAGCTGTTTAGAATATAAATACTATTAGGTAATACGCAACTTTTGAATCTAGTTTGAATGTTGTACCTAGATTAATATTGTTTTTATTGTAATTTTAATTTTTTGTTGCTTTTTTGAAAACATTTTGGTGAACTTTTCAAACATATTACAGTCTGATTAAGTGAACGAATAATAAAAATAAATGTTTGTACATAAGGAGAAAAGCATACCGAAAACGTATACAATGTTAATTTTTGGAAATTGAACTGAATTAACAATTTATTTTTGCTTTTTTTAATAACTAGTCTTGGGTGTAAAAAAGCCAGGGCAAAAAATCCATTGAATATTTTGTGAAATTCACTTGTTTTCTATTTAAACTAACCTTCTTATTTTACAAAATTTCTCGTGTTTATTTAATAAAATAAATTAAACACGACGAAAAAGTAGTTCAAAGTGCATTAAAAAAATAAACAATGAATAAACGGTTGCAACGAAATATGTTATCTGTGGTGAAACTTAAAGAGAACTTCTAAAAAAGGTACGAAAAATTGGCAGTGCAAATCGAAAACAGGTAAACTCTATATAATTTTCAATTTTGCTTGCTAAAAACTCTTTCATAATTATTAAAATATTTTTCAAATAAGACTATTTGTCATATAAATAAAGGAAAACTATAAAAATACCTAAATTGAGAACATGTTTTGCTAAAATCGTAGGGTGGCTTTTTCACCCCACCAGGTGGTGCAAAAAAGCCACTTACAGTGCTTCCGTAAAACTCTTATAACTTAGTCCTTTCATGAGATAAAAAATATTTCCGTCAAGAATTTTCAAGCTTAATAACTAAACTTTCAATAACAATTGGAAATTTGAGAAAAAAATTTTAAATACAGATTTTACAGCATCAAAAGTAAAAATGTGGCTTTTTTACCCCACTCTACCCTAATAAAACTCATAGCAAAATTTCAATTATTTTCAATAATTTAATAATTTACTAATTATGATTACAGATAAAGAGTAAAAATTGAATTATTATTTAAACAATTTTTAAACAAATTATTGTTGCTATTTACCAACTTTTAACATAATACGCCTAGAAAGTTGCAGATTTTTTCCTAATTTTATAATTTACTAAACTCTATATGATTACAGATAAAGAATAAAAATTGAATTATTATTTAAACAATTTTTAAACAAATTAATAATTTGTTTATAAATTGTAATCTGTAGTCAAATAGATGAGTTTAGTAAATTGCAAAGTTAGGGAAAAACTGCAACTTTCTAGGTGCATTCTGTAAAAAGTTGGTAAATAGTAACAATAATTTGTTTAAGCAAATAAAAAATTCATTGT